GGTTTTAAGGACTGTTTATAACACATCCATCAACACAATTCAACAGGAAGAACTCTAGGTAGCAAAGCTGGGTGTACACATCCAGGGGATAGAACCGAGTCTGTGATAAAATAAGGGCCATTCTTGCTTTCAGATATTAAATTCCATGCAGAATATTAAATAATTTCCTCTTCAATGATCCCAGTAAATTTAATTAGCTCTTGTTTCCTCAATAGAGATGTCTCTCTCTTTCTGTGTCTCTCTCTCTGTCTTTTTCTATTCTTAAAGCTCTCTTTTAGGAGTGACAGGAGACATGGTGCATATGCTAAGTACCCTCTCCTCCATCAAGGGCTTGCTACTGATGGATCAACTGATGCTGAAAAACAGGAAGCAATGCTGCTTCCAAAGAGCTGTGTTTGGGCTCATCTCTGAATGACACAGCGAGGGAATGTCTCCTTTCCCCAAAATGTGATTTCCTGCCCCAGCAAACAGTTTCAAACTTCAGCACTGAAGTTTAGCTCTTCACTAGGTAACACAGTAATTCTCTTGCTAGGTATTAGTGGTTGTGGCAGTGTAGGAAGAGGAGGAGGACTCCTTCCTTGTCATCCTTCTGCCCCAGTGAAAGCTATCAGACCAGGGATGCATTCTCACTGCAAAAATAATCCAGTTTGACACCATTTTAACTACCATGGCTCCATGATAAGGAATTCTGGGAATTGTAGTTTGCTTTGGTCCCAGGCCTCTCTGTCAGGGAAGTTTAAATGTATCACAGAACTATAGTCCCCAAAATCTATAGCACTGAACCATGGCAGCTAAAGTGGTGTCAAACTGAATTATTTCTGCAGTGTGAATGCAGCCGAAGTTGTTGTTTCCCCTGCCCTTTTGACTTTATAACCCAGCTATCTCTCACAGGGATAACGTAAGGTTTGTTTATATGATTAAAATACTCCTCATTTTGTTCAAAGAGACTGTTATCTGGCCACATGCAATTCAGAGGAATTTGGGCTTTGTGTGCACAGGACAGTTGCACAGGACAGTGAAGACAATGTAGTTGATGCAAATGTGTGAAAATCTGCAGCAATTTACATAAGACACTGTCAGTGTATGTAAAAATGGAATTGAATTTCACTGTACAGAATACAGATTGCATAGAATTTGTACAGAATTTGACTGCAAAGATCATGAAAGGCTATGGAACACCCTTAAAGACATGGGAGTGCCAACACATCTGATAGTCCTGATGAGGAATCTGTACTCAGGACAAGAGGCTACTGTCAGGACAGAACACAGAGAAACAGGATGATTCCCAATTGGCAAAGGGGCCAGACAAGGCTGTATCCTTTCACCCTATCTGTTCACGCTGTATGTAGAACGTATTGTAAGAAAAGCAGGCTTGGACACAGAAGAAGGAGGAATGAAAAT